TATATATATGTATATATTTATTTATACTTATATATATGTATATATATACATATATATACTTATATACACGTGTGTCTGTGTGCATATATATATGTGTGTATATATATATATATATATATATATATATATATATATATATATATATATATACATATATATACTTACATACACGTGTGTGTGTGCATATATATAAATGTATATATGTATATATATATATATATATATATATATATATATATATATATATATATATATACATTTATATATATGCACACACACACGTGTATGTAAGTGTATATATATATATATATATATATATATATATATATATATATATATATATATATATATATATATATATATATATGTATATATATATATATATATATATATATATATATATATATATATATATATATGTATATATATATATATATATATATATATATATATATATATATATATATATATATATATACATACATATACACAAACACATATACACACACACACACACACACATACACACACACACACACACACACACACATATATATATATATATATATATATATATATATATATATATATATATATATATATATATCACACACACACACACACACCACACACACACACACATATATATATATATATATATATATACATACATACATACACACACACACACACACACACACACATATATACATATATATATATATGTGTGTGTATGTGTGTACGTGTGTGTTTGTGTGTGTGTACATGTGTGTGTGTGTGTGTGAGTAAAATCACCTATATTATAATATGAAAACATATCAAATAGAGCCGCCAGTCGTGCTTTTAATAAATCACTAATTCATAAATGGTCATAAACTCCCACATAGCATTTCTTGTGCCTTGTTGCTCAACGGGCAGTGCCAGCGGGTGCCTGCGGGCCAGCCTTTGCATGCGACAAAAACGACGTGCTCCAGATGTGTGTCGGTGTTCGTCCGATATTGTTAAAAGGAAAACCAATATTTGTGAAATAAGCCTATGACCTTGGAGACTATTCTAATACGTTCGCGTGAAATTAAAGGTCAAAGAGTGGTAGATTGTTCCTCAAACGCTGACCGAAAGAAAGCAGAGAATAAATGCATGCTTGAATGACGGAGAGACCAAGACCGCTGGCAACTGCGTACGTGGAAGCGGCGACCTATAAGAACACTGAACCAAGTGATCAGCGCCGCAGTATCTTCTAGCGTTAACCATCATGAAGTTCGTAAGTAGCCGTGGACTCTGACGGTTGTTATTTTGGAAAACCGGCTGACGCGGCCCTCCGGTGTCCCTTTTGGTTGAAGTTGGAGGGGTGGGGAGGGGACTGGGTTTAAGGAGTCTATTAGAGACAGAGAGTAGAGTACAAATGAAGAAGAAAAATATATATAGACCTGATCATCGGCGATACATTAGATACTTGAATTTCTTTCGGAATCTGTTTTATGTTGTCTACTATCATGCTGATGTTTCATTACTCCCAATCCTAGCAATTCCATTGTCAATTAAAATAAATTTTACACGGCTTCTCTCAGATCATTCTCGCCGCTCTGGCCGCCGTGGCCGCTGCCGTCCCCCAGGGATACGGCGCCCCCCCACCTCGCTACGGCTCCAGCGAGGAGATCGCCATCCTGAGGGACGAGCGCGTGATCGAGGACGACGGAAGGTACAACTTCGACATGGAGACTGCCAACGGCATCGAGGTGTCAGAGCACGGCACTCCCGGAGAGAAGGGAGCCATCAACAGCGCCGGATCCTTCTCGTGAGTAATCTTTTGTGGTAATATTTTCCGTTAGATGGATCAGCCTCAGTGACATCACTTCATAGTTACTTCTTCACAGCTGGCCACATATCCTTGATATCGTAACCCTCTTATAATACCCTTCATTTATCACAATAATTATAAGAAGGTGAAGAAGAGGGAAAACAGAATATAGAATCCCACTGACAGGCAATGAGAACCTGATCCCTTTCCCACAGCTACACCGCCCCCGACGGCACCCCCATCACCCTGCAGTTCGTGGCCGACGCCAACGGCTTCCAGCCCCAGGGCGCTCACCTGCCCGTGGCTCCTGAGTTCCCCCACCCAATCCCCCAGTTCGTCCTAGACCAGATCGCCTTCGCCGCCCAGGAGGACGCCCGCAGGCCCAGTGAGCCCTCCAGCAGATACGGCGCCCCCTAAAAAATGACAGGCCGGACGCAGCGAGGTGTTGCCGAAGATCGAGATTTTCCTCTACTGAGTAGAAACGACCGCGCGGTTTTTGTTCGATAGTTTTTTTTTATATATTTATTATGACTTGAATAAATGAAGTAACAAATACCTGAGTTTGCAGCCGTTGGACCGTACTGTTTTAAAACATGATGAGGGCCTTTATCCCAGTTTGTCTATTTCTCGATTTTATTATTATTATTATTATATATATATATATATATATATATATATATGTGTGTGTGTGTGTGTGTGTGT